TGTTTGGGGAATCTAGCAAGTTTTATGAAAGGGGAGGCGCCAAATGATTACATACTTTTCAGGGAAGCGTAGTAACTTCAAGTTTGGAAACCACTGATTTAGAGGGTTATTAGAATTCTGTACACATTATAATTGCAGTTATGTCGAAAACTTATTCTTGGAATATAAATTCGTTGCCTTTTACAGGACATTTTTATTTAGTATACCAAATTTGAGAATGTTTGTGCTAAGCCAGTAAAAATCTACTAACTATCGCTTTGAAAGTTCCTTCGAGTGGAGATCGTTAATAACCGAACGCACAGCGATTAAAGTAAACTTCGAAAGCGAAAGAAGTACTCAACTCTATTGTCAATGATTCATAATGATCATCATCATCATCATCAGAGAAGAAAGTTTCCGTAAATATTTGAATCGCTCGACGATGAAATATCGCGTAAACAAACAACGGCCGCCTTTGATAATATTATGATTACAAAACATGTTGTGGAGAGCTGGCGAAAAGCGAAACGCTTAGGATTTTTACATATATCTTTGTTGAATATCCCAAAACATTCCCCAAAAAAACAGCGCGCGCGTTTTGCTTACTTTTTCCACTGTTGCGAATGATTTACACGCGCACATGGAAAAGAATTATGTATAAAGAACAAACGTAACGATCCATCATCCATCCGAACAGTGTAAATAATATCCATTCAAAGGAGTCACGAGTCTAGGTTGTCCGGACAAAATATAATTAGAATCGCCGTCGTTATTAATAAAAGAAAGCGTTGCGTAAATAGTTGCGGCATTCTACGGGTTCGCCTACACATTCACACACAAATAATTCCAAAGTCATTCGATTCATACTCGATCGATTTCGATATGCCCCAGAGGAATACGTAATAATGATATTCAACTAGGATGTGTGTGAGTTTGTAGCGGTGGCATTGATCTTGGTGTGCTCTTCTGTGTAGAAAGTTGGCGCGCAAAAAGCGATAGGAAGAAGTGCAGTAAGAATTCGGTAAATGCACGAAGGCGATAAGTGCACATGCAAAAAAATGCGGAGCGAACATTAGGGCTCATATTACGACTAACTGAATACTAATCGCATTTAAACTATCTACTAATTCGGACCAGGGGAATTACTGGCTTTCAAAAAAAAACTAAAACGCATTGTTTTTCCTTTTACGATTTCCAAATTAAATACGATTCGAAAAGACAATTAATATGCACCAAAAATTTGGGATAAACCAACAAAAAAAACTATGAATCATCAGCAAATTGTACAATGAACATTTCGCACTTTATACTCTTGTTTAATCTTAAGATTCAATATCCAAGACAAACCTTTGGACTGTGCGTTAATTCAAAAAGCTAAACTACTATTCCGTCGTTTTATGCAAAGTAACTTTTTATGAATAAAGTGATGTTAAACGCGTGCACGGATATCGCAGTTCAATCAGTGAAAACATTTAAACAACTTGTACTTGTTTGACAATTGAAGCGCAAACAACAAGATCGAATTATCTGAAAGATCACTGTTTTCAAATTTCTGTCACGTTTCAGTTGTTTGCGTCAAGGCTCAATTGATTATCGATATCATTAGCTATGCATGAATCAGTTACGCGAAAGACCTTGCAAATAAATGTATCAAAAACAGCATCGTTTATCTTCTATTATTTGTTTCTTTTTTTACGTTGCATCGAAATGTATAATTATTAAACGCGACGGTAATTCGAATCGGACATCATTTTGCACCGGACAGGTATATTCCATTAGCAATTAGGCACCGAAAATAATATAATTTGAGAACACACGAACGGGGGAAAACAGAAATGCAGAGCGAAATAATAATAAAACCAGCAAAATGCAATTTTATAATGGAATTAATCGACAGGCGGGATAAAACGTGTGCGCGGCTAATGTCTGTCTGTCTCTGTGTGGAAGGCGGAAACCCTCCAAGTAAAGGTCAAAGACGAAATTCGAGCGAATTTCTCTGGAACAAGGATCTAAATTTAAATGAGCGTTCGTACAATACAGAAACCGAAAATAAGGTTTACAAATTCAGATGAATCATTAATACCGTTCGCAGAGAATGTAACTTCCTTGTGTGTCTGTGTGTGTGTATTTTTTCGATGATGAAATTTCGTTGATCCGGCCTCGATTGTAATCGTACGTCAATTTTATTTATTCCTTTCTTCGACACCTGAGGATCTTACTAATCTCAAATAAAAATCCGCGTGGGCTGTGATCCAGTTCTTCGGAAATACGTCATGTATAATAAGATGAGTAAGCTATGCTCGTTGCATTTGTTTTGGGGACACTTGATTTAAATTGAAATGACATAATACACGTCAAAATTTGTTTCAGGCCACTAGATTTTGTTTACATATAGATTAATTAAGTCTCTTTTTAATTTCTCTTTTTGTTTTTTTTTTGTTGAAAAATTGTATAACAAGAGATTGGTTTTAGATAATCTAGAAAAAAGAGAATTCTAACGATCCTTTAAATATTTATTTATAGCCGAAGATTATATAGTTCTCGGTATAAATCATCAATCGATTTATTTTTAGATGAAAACCCATCTTGACATACAGAAATAGCAAATAATAGTAGTGTGTCACTGCGAATTATAGTATCTTCGTGTGGTAATAATTATATTCCGCTATATTCTAATTGCTTAAATAAACGAGTCAAAATAATCAAAAACTACAGCAGTTTGAAAAATTCTTAATTTAATTGGAAATTACCTCAGAAAAGAACCTTTCGCATATGAAACGTAAAGAACAATACGTATGCAAAACAGTTTTAATAAATTGAATGCTATTATATTGATGAACGATTACCGAGAAACCGGATCCTCGATTTCCCCATTTCGCTCGAGCGCAAGAAAAAAAAAACATTGCATAACGAACGCTGCTGGACTTTGGGAGATTTCGCAGCACCGTCGCGGCTCACCTGAGAGAGAAGCAATGACGCGCGTTGAATTCCCAATCGGCGTCGAACGAACGAACGGAGCTTGCTTTTCCATTCACAAATATGCATATTGTAAATAATTCTGTTCCAGAAAATCGGCAATAAAAACGATAATTAAATTTACAATAAGAAAGAAAACAGCTTTTGGCTCAATAAACGCCGCTCACCTGATGAAATAACAAATTGTTAACGAGGTTTATGCAGTTTTGAAAACTGCTTGGATCGCGTCCAGAAGGGAAAAATCTTTTCCAGCGGCGATTAATTAAATCATTTTGGCCCGTCTCCAAATGCGGTTTCTTCGCAACACCGAAGAACATAGAAGAAAGACAGCATAAACAAACCGATGACATAAACTGGTTTATATTGTTTATAGTGGTGATTTGTAATAATTGTATAGTTCAGCAGATGTTTCCTCGAAATAATAATAAAAACACACATCCACACATACACACGAAAAAAATGTGAGAGAATCTGCGACGGTTCAAAACATAAATAAATAGTTAGTAATATATTATTAGTAGGGAAACATTCTCCACATGTTCGAACGAAAACAGAGAGAACGCATCTTCGGTCACAGCCATTCAATTTTCCGTGTCTTTTACCGGTCTCCTCACAACGAAAGTTTCCGTAAACTTTATCAATTTAAGAGTGTTCGCGAATTGCTTGAGCAAACACTTGGGCAATAATAATAATGATAATAATGCATGAAATACCGTAGCTGAGAATGTCTATGGACTCTGGAACAGGGCTTCCCAACTTTCCGAAGAATTTTTATCATAAATAACTTAGTTAGTTTGCATAAGCATAATATACACATAAACTTCGGTGTTATGCAAATACTTTTTACCCGCTCACCTTACCATTAATCAATTGTTTACAATACACATATTGAACATAATTTACATCATTTAATAAAAAATATTAGTAAGAAATCATTTGTCAAAACGAAACGTTGACCTTTCAATCTTCATTCAGAGTGTTTGAAATCACAAATTGAAAATCACAGTTACTTACAATAATGAATTTATTTCGATTAATCTAGAATGAAACATAAAATCCGTGAAATATATTTAGCATTAGACTTCTTTTCTACTTTATATCTATTTCAGAACTCTATTAATAAACTACACCTCAATTCGCACGTATCGTTCAAGATCATCTGTCCATTCATGAATCTTCGAGTTTTGCTTCAATTGTTAAATAAACAAAATATATTGAAAATCAATTAGTTTACTTATCTATTAATTGTCGTGTTTATTTCATCCATTAATTGAATATTCGACAAACTTGAAAAGACGCTTTGCAATTCATTATAATTAGTATTCTGATGTCATTGTTTAACTTGCAATTAAGTGGCAGTTAAAATGTGCAGTTCGTAATTAAAGTAAATGATATATAAATCTCTTTAGATTTCTGCTTAAATATTGAAATTGCGCTTTTTTGTTCGACGTTTGCTATTATTCTGAAAGGTAATCTTGGAAGTCGACGATAATCACTGTAATTATTAATTGTATTTTGATGTTGTTATTTTAAAGTCCGATTAAAAGATATTTAAGTTAGAGGATGTATGATGGTAATCAGACAAAGACAAATTATCGGTTAATTTGTTGCGGCTGAGAGAGAGAGTGCGGATTTCAGGTTCGTGGAAGTGGGAAGCGTTTATAACAGCGACGTCGCGGCTCCGAGGTTGTAGAAGCGCGCGGTGTTTCGCGGTGGTTAGAGTTGCTAGTTTCGAAAAAGTTTGGAACAAATTTGTTCTTGTTGTTGTTGTTGTTGCTGAAATGGACGTGGAGGAATTTCGTGAGCGCGGCAAGGAGATGGTGGATTACATATGCCAGTACATGCAGGAGATGGGAGAGAGAAGGGTGACGCCGGCCGTCGAACCTGGATATCTTAGGAAGCTTCTACCAGCTGAAGCACCCGTCAAGGGAGAACCGTGGGAAGACATCATGTCCGACGTGGACGGAAAGATAATGCCAGGCGTTACGCATTGGCAGCATCCCAGGTTCCACGCTTATTTTCCATCGGGAAACTCGTATCCTTCCATCCTTGGAGACATGCTTTCCGATGCGATCGGCTGCATCGGTTTCTCATGGGTAAGCAACGCAATTCGTTCGCAGCATTTGTAATAATTTAAACGTGAATTTCAGGCTGCGAGTCCTGCGTGCACCGAATTAGAAACGATCGTCATGGATTGGCTTGGAAAGGCTATCGGTCTGCCGGAAGACTTCATAACTTCAACTCCGAAGAGCACCGGCGGTGGTGTCATCCAGTCTTCGGCGAGCGAATGCGTGCTGGTCAGCATGCTGGCTGCGAGGAATCAGGCGATCAATCACCTGAAAAAGTCCAGTCCGGACGTGGACGACAGCGCTTTTCTTCCTAGACTCGTAGCGTACTGCTCGCAGGAATCGCACTCTTGCGTGGAGAAGGCAGCTATGATCCTTTTGGTGAAGTTGAGGATTTTAGACCCGGATGAGAACTGTAGCTTGAGGGGAGAAACTCTGAGGAAAGCTATGGAAGAGGACGAAGCTGCAGGGTTGGTTCCCTTCTTCGTTTCAACGACCCTCGGTTCCACTGCTTGCTGCTCCTTTGATAACCTGGTGGAGATAGGACCTATATGCAGGGCGAAACCTTCCACTTGGCTGCACGTTGATGGCGCCTACGCAGGAAACGCATTTATCTGTCCTGAACTTAAACCTCTGATGGCCGGTATAGAATACGCCGACTCCTTCAACACGAACCCGAACAAATGGTTGTTGGTTAACTTCGATTGCTCATGTCTGTGGGTACGCGATAGACTTCGACTAACTGGAGCTCTTGTGGTCGATCCACTCTACCTGCAGCACGCAAACAGCGACGAAGCCATCGACTACAGACATTGGGGGATACCTCTTAGCAGACGATTCCGCTCGCTGAAGCTTTGGTTCGTCATCAGGAAATACGGCATCGAAGGTCTTCAAGCTTACATCAGGAACCACATTGCTCTGGCGAAGAAATTCGAGGAACTGGTCAAAAACGACAATAGATTCGAAATCGTAAACGACGTTCGCTTGGGTCTGGTTTGCTTTCGGCTGAAAGGCTGCGATTCTCTGAACAGAAACCTTTTGGCGACCATAAACGCCTCAGGTAAACTGCATATGATCCCATCGATGGTCAAAGGAAAGTACATCATCAGATTCTGCGTGGTGACGGAGAAGGCCTGCGAGGCTGACATCGTCACTGCTTGGAAGGTGATCAACGAGCACGCCACCGATATTCTCGACTCACAGAAACCCGCTACACCAGAAGTCGTCGCCAGACCTCCACTCACCAGGCAAAAGTCCAGGCGGTTCTCTTTCACCAGAAGCGTTTCCAGGGATATCTACAAGAGGACCATGAGCAAATCGAACTTACACGATGGCGCCACGCCCATCCTCATACCCGACGACGAGACGGATTCACCCGAATCCAATGATGGAATCCTCGAGGCCATCACCAACGAAGATGACGATGTTTTCATCACCAAAGACTTCAACGACTTCAGCATTAAGGAGGAGCCGAAATGCCAAAGAGTTTAGGACATCACCACCTCACCCAATTCTTGAGGCTAATACATTTTTTTTATACTCTCTACCTATAATTGTATCATCAACAGTATTACTTAAGATTATATATATTTAACTTTAAAATTCAACTTATTCCCATTATTCAATATGCAAATCCCAAATTCTTAAAACTTTCATTTTATATACAAGTTTATTCGATAATTGTGAATTTAGAAATTCACCTTGTGCAGTACTTTCTGAAATAAGAAAATAGGGAATTCCTTAACTTAAAATCAAGAAGGTCAAATTCCATTTAGTTCTAAATGTTAATACAATCACCCCTTTATCAAGAAAACAACAAACATAACCTACAACACAACAAAAAAGCACAATATCAACAATAGGTTTTACCAATGTTTTCCACTGTAATAATACAAAGTTAATTCAAATTGTTCCAAATATAATGAGAAGAACTTGAACATACACAAATTATTGCCGCTTAAATTAAACATATAACATTTTAAAAGCATACGAAATTCAACCCCTATGATAAGTTAATGTAATATTTACCTCCGACATCAGTGATGATCCAATCAGGCAATGCTAAACTGACAAAAGCAAAAACATTTGCAGCCATAAACAGAGTGCCCGAGATAATTGTTAATTTATCCATGGCCCCTTTCGAATATATATATATATCTTTATCTATGCACACAGAACACAAACACTATATGTATATACTATGTACCAATTTTTGTTAATAGGCAAACGAAATTTACAAACACAAACAACAATCAACAATTATAAACATTTTTGTCATCAGCTGATTCGCACAGCTGTCGAATTATGAAAGTTGTGAAAACACTGGAATTTCGCAGTAGTCCCACCTGAAGAATGACAAAAAAAAATTGAAAAGTGCTATTTACGAAACGTTAATAATGGATAATAATTATACATATATATATTGATTTTTTTTTTTTAAATAAATGATTAGTTAATTAACTGTTATGATTAAGCAATAATTATATTACAATAATGTACATTTTTATTAAGAGATATGTTTAAAATTTCGTTTTTCCATTGAGGATTTAATAGTTTATTGCTGAAAATATTAGTAATTATAAATGTATTAAATACATTTAACTTCAATCCTATTATGACATGTGTTGCAGTATGTAACTATCGTCATGGGTGTTACCACTACATTAATCCTGAATTAACCTAAAGTAAGCTGTCAGATGTATAAACAAAAATCAATGAATCTGTTAATTTCGTGTTGTATTTGATTGTAGATCGTGCGGATATGGCTAGCAACATGTCGCAGGGGGCTTACGCCCCACTGCCGCAATCGTTGAGCGATTCCGACTCGGAAAAGGAAACGAGTGACCATAACAGATTGTCTTTCACAGCGAGAAAGCTGCAGAATGGCAACGAAACGAGAAACGGATATCCTGTACCTCCTCACGTCGTGAACCTCTCGAGGAGGGAAGGTTTCACCAACATGACCCGGGCAAGGAAGGTAGCCTTCATAGCTTCAATACTACTATGTTTTCTAGTCATCGTAGTTTTCCTATGGATTCTGCCCTGCAACAGTGAAGGCACCTGTCCTATGAGGTTGAACAGTTGGAAGAACGAGCACGAAGGTTTAGAGTTCAAAGGGAAGATTAACATAGTCCATGGCTTGTATAAAAACAGTCTCAATATGGTTCTACTTGGCAAGAAGTCGATTGTGTCTGAGAATCAGCAGAGCGGCACTGTAGCTATAAAGGTGATTGATGGAGATCTGGCCTGGTTTGTACCTCAGATACAAATGCCGAACACAGTAGATTGTGAGATGATTGATCTCAATGGTGATAACATAAAAGACTGTTTGATCTTAAGCAAGATTGGTTTGGAGGCTGTGGATTCAGTGAGTGGGGAGAAAATTTGGAATTTGCACAATGAAAAGATGATCATCTCCAATGTAGATTTCCCACAATTGCTGCCCGATTTAAACAACGATGGTACGAACGAGATGATCACAGTTGCTGAAAAGAGTCCCAATCACAATAGGCTGATTGTATTTAGCGGACTAACAGGGAAAATGCTTTTAAACATCGTCCTGAAATCGTGTATTAATATATCGGATTTCAAGTTCGTCGATAACTACTTCATTTACTTCTGCACGAACGCTTCGTTCAAGAACTACTTCAAAATACATTTCAGCGAGTTCCAAACGAAGTACGTTAACAACACGTACACCGTGAAATCCGCTAAAATCGACTACCATCCAGAGTACAAAGATGACGTTATCTTGAACGGTCGCAGTTTATTCGTTAAAAACGAGGGGAAATGTCCCAATTGCAGGGCGAGTTTAGATCTGGTCAATCATTCGTCGAAAGTACCGATTTGGACGAAGACTTTGGAGAAAACCTTTGCAATGAGACCGGTCACCTTCTCGTTCAAAGGCACGCAAAACTATCAGGCCTTGAAGGGACATATGAACGGATTCATATTGAAGCTGTGGTCCTGGAATCACTCGAACATCACCGCGCAAAACAACGTCTCAGAAAAGATAGTGCTTATCACGTTCAACGACACCAACGTACACGAGATCAACGTAAGCTACTCTCAGATTACGCAGATATGCTTGAAGGATGGACAATGCCAACCCGATTTCTCCGACGAGAACGACTCGTTAATGATAAACGACTTGGATTTGGATGGTGAACTGGAGTTGATCAGTTACAGCAGCGGATTCAAGTGTCCTAGGGAATCGATCGAAACTTGCAAGTTGATTTCCAGCATCGAAGTGGTCAGATTGGAAGGTGAATTGCCCAAGCTTTACGCGAGCAAATAGTTTATGATCTCAACAATTATATATATATTTAATCGGCATCTATTTTAAGCTTTGCACGTAAATCGCAAAGGAATTTCAATTCCGTGCACTATTTTTCAATCAAAGTCTTAAGTTGGATGTGTTGAATTTATGTGGTTGACACCTTTGAGTGTTGATATTTCATGGTATTTTAGATATGTAAGGACTTGTGATTTATTTGTTTATATCCAATGGCTGTTGTAACTTAACTCTGATATTTATTTTGTTTATGTACACACGTAATCTAGTCAATAAATTTTTATCATCGACTGTAACGAATCCTGCTTTATTTTATCAATCCGAATTATGAAAAGGAAAAATTTTTAACTAAACTTATCTTATCTTTATCTTATATAAATTTAGCCATACATTTATAAATGTAAGTTAATGGAATAGTTATTTGATTTCCATAAAAATATGTTTGGTATGCAAATATGTGTATAACATATTGCAGGTTTCTACAATATCGACAAGTAGATTATTATATTTAACTCAGTAAGCTGTGGTCGTAGAAACAAATTGATATAAATCTCTTTATTATTATTTAAAAAAAAAAGCAGTAAGCGTTGCAAATAACTTATTTTTGATAATTAAAATATAATTAAAACAATAGAATATGACTCATCGTAATATAATACAAAATTTATTTCAGTATTTCGTCATATAAGATTGCTGAAGGTCATTCTTCTTGTTCCTTTTTCGCTTAGACGAAATATTGGCATTACTGTAGATTACATTTCTCTCGTGTGTGTAGGGGAATCCCCTAATTCTAAATATAACGTCGATATACCACGATATCCTGTTGGCGTGTATCATTTTATTAATAACCGCCAACGCGAGTTGATCCACATGTAAGTACTGAACATGTTTTGTTTGAGAATAATTCCAACACGCTCAAGAGTTCATACTTTCATACTAAATAATCGTATTTTATTAGATTCATTACCGCTATTATCGAATATGAATCGAAATAATAAAAGTACCCAAAAGAATAAAAAAAAGGGTAAGAAGTCTGATAAGAAAAAGCATAATGAAAGCGCAAAAGTGTCAAACGAATCTGTCGCTCCATCAAAATCTGAACCAAAGCCAGATGTTTCAAATAATATTGAGACTGTAAAAGAGAAGGTGGCTCAAGTTTCATTATCAAATGATGGAGCTGTTGCAAGTGACTCACGCTCTGATCCTTTTATGAGAAATTGTAAAACAAACAGCAATGAGAGTAATAAACATAGTAATGATACTCGGAAGGCAGAATGTCCATTGAAACAAGATAAAAGATCGATTGAATTGGAAGAAGCATTGGATACCTATATGAACTGCTTTCGTTTAAAGAAAAACATGGAATATAAGTGTGTTGAAGAGATTGAAGCTGACTTGTTCGCAATGAAAAAGGAATATCATCTAGGACATTGCGTTGCTGAAGATTTCAATATGGGAAGTGGAATAGCACTTGAATTCAGGTAATCATTCAGTTTCAGTGCAACAGAAAGATTGTTGTATTTATTCAATTTTTGTATGTTTATAGAAAACTGTTCAAGCAAGTTGATGTCCTTCTGAATCAGAGAGTTAAACAAGGTGGTTTGGGTTTATTGGAATCAGACGGACGATACATATATTATCTGGTAACTAAACGGGAGTCAAATGGGAAACCCACATTGGAAACCTTGTTCAAGTCAGTTTATAAAATGAAATGTCATATTGTCGAGAACGATGTGAAGATGTTGGCGTTGCCAAGAATTGGTTGTGGCCTAGACAGACTTGAATGGAGCGAAGTCAAGAACATGTTGGAATTCGTTTTCACAGGCACAGAGTGCAAGATAACGATCTGCAATTACCAGATGGTGAGTGTTCAAATACATGTTTTTGTAGTTTAAATGAACGAGATGGTTTTTAGAACTATGGAAAAACCAAGCAAAAATTGCAAACCAAATCTGTTGCATCTAAAGATACCAAACGGAGTAACAAGCTCAAGAAAAGACAAAAATAGCTCCATATTTTGTAATTGTATTATTATTAGGTGGTAAATATAATTGATACAATTTTTGCTTGGTTTCATTGATATCATGTGCGATAAGCTTTCATTTTATGTATTTTTATTTGCAGGCACAAGAATCAGTGAGTGTAGCAAAGAGTAAACACCAATTAAGAAAATGCAACATCACTCAAGTCTTTGACGCCGACATTAAGGACATTGAAGAATATTCTATAATCGTCTACTTGGGTTCAGAGGATGCGAGAGTCACGCCGCAGATAAGCAAGTTGGATTCACACTTTAACATTATGAAAGAATATAGGAATTCGCCCAGGATTGGCACGACTGTGTTAACAAAAGTACAACAAGACAAATATCTTATCTACGGCTGTATTGTCAAGAGAAAACAATACGATCCAGTGGATTACGTTCAGTTCTTGAAATGCATCGCGGACATCAATAAAATGAACTTGAAATTAAAGCCTCCATATTATTATGTTGCGATGCTTAAAGAAAATGATAATGATAATTTGCTTATGAGTAAGATCGTCAATTTGATGAGAAACTGTTTCCACAACGTCGATATTCTGCTGTATCCGAACCCAAGCTTCCCTAAAGGTCAGAACGATGATATCATTGAATAGATTTCATATGCATATTAAATATTTAAATTTAAAAAAAAAACAGTTCATTATAATTATAAAATAAACTTCTTTTGCATAGGTTATAAGCGTAAGAGCGAAGTACAGCCTCGCCAACGTCATCAATCTTCATCTAAACGGCAAAAACTGATTAACGAATATTTCAAATAAATAACTCTTGTTTCTATCCTAATATATGTTTAACAAATAGATCATTCGACATTTGTATATTGTATAAACTTTATTGTTACTTTAGTCTTCAAACTTGACACTTTCCACAGAGCGTAACGATTTCGCTTATATCGAAACCTAAGTTACCATCCCTCAGCTTCAGGTAATTGTCCTCGGGAATGCATTTAAACAGATTTCCGAACGGCGTGTACTCTTCCATGGTGGACACGTCGGCCAACATTATCAATTTGTGCTTAGCTCTGGTGATCGCTACAGTCAATCTCTTTTTGTCCTCCAGAATTTCAAACTGCGACGAAAATGTTAATATTTTTTTTTTTTAAAGAAATAAATAAGTAATACCTTTGATATTTTCCGCTTCTTCGAAACATCCCGAGATTTCGTGCACGAATAGAGAACGATATCTTTGTCCTGTCCTTGGAACTGATCCACAGTGCTGATGTCCACTTCGTGTTTGGACAAAACTGAAGTCAATTGTGTTACTTGCGCCCTGTACGGAGCCATCACACCAATGCTCTTCGGATTCACGCCACCCTTTCGAACAACAAATTAATATGGAATTTAATCGTATCAAGAGTTTATCTTACTTTTATCAACGTTTCGACTATTAACGATATGATCGCCGTTTCCAGCGGATTCACTATGGATAGGATGTCCCCATCGGCATTCCTTTCGAACGTGTTCTGCTGTATCCAATCGGCATTCAGTTTCTTGTCCCAGACGGGTCCCGTATCCAAAACGCAGATAGATCTCTGCAATTTGTGATCCAGCGTTTGCAACAGCCATTGAAAGTCTTTGTACACCGCTGAAACGCACTGTAAGAGAATTGAATGTAAATCTATACCAATTTTTTTTACAAACACTAATAATGAATTCACCTCGATTTTGGGTATCCGCAACGTTGCATTGGCGACGGTTTCGTTGGCGGCCAATAGTTCTCCATTGTAAGTAAAGTCGTTGGCCAACTTCATGATCGGTCTGTTCATGCGGTAATTTTGGTTCAAAGTTACCACGGATTCCGGACTTTGCAACCTCTCAAACAAACTCTCCGACAAACCCCTTGATCTAAAACATTTAAATTAAGTTTTTAAACATATTCAGCACAGAAACGCGAAATCAAACACGCACTGAGCTTCTTTATTCTTGATGACGGGAGGTAATTGCTCAGGATCACCGATTAAGATGAACTTCTTGCAGGCGGTCAATGCGCGAATGAGAGAAGTCTGCAGGACTTGGGTGCTCTCGTCGACGATACACACGTCCATGATCCTTTTGGAAAACACCGTATGCTTTGTTCCAATGCAGGTGGACGCTAGAACGCACTTGAAACCTCAAGTTAGATTCGTGCGATGGAAATTAATTAAAATTCACTTACGGCATTACCGTAAACTGCGTCCAATTCTTCCGGTGTTTTGCAGTTTGCCGTCAGCGTATGCTCGGATCTGTGCTTCAACGACGGATGAATCCTAGAATGCGATCCCAATCTGACAACATCGATGCCGCATTCTTGCAGACGTATGCAGACATTGTCGACCGCACAATTCGTGCCACTCGTAATTAAAACCGTTTGTTTCAGTTCGACTAGGAATTGGACTAGCGCTACTATGGTCGCCGTTTTACCTATTGACGATTCAATAAATAATTGAAAAGTTCACAACTTGGAATGCGAAAGCTTTTACCTGTTCCGGGCATGCCTTTAATCAAGAGGTATTCATTGGTGGCCAAAGCTTTGATCACAGCCTTCTGTTGCATCTTGTTCATACGTTTCAAGATTGGAATTGATTTCTTACCGACTTCGGCGGGCAAAGTCTTTCGAAATGTCGGTTTCTCCTTGTCCACTATCATCTTCCTCAGCTGCATTGCTCTCGGAGTGTTTTCCATTAAGAGAGCTAAATTGCTGAAGTTGAAGGTGTTCAAGCTGCCGGATTCGTACGTGTCCAAGTGGAACAACATGTTCGGATACTTTGTATTTAAATCTCTGAAATAAGAAAGAAAAACCATCGTCAATTGATTAATTACTAATAGATGATTTAATTTTCATTACAATTTAATTGCAATATAATTAAGCTATGCAGAACAACATTCAGATTATTGCAATGATTATATTGTTATTACTATTATCGTTAATTTTATATTAAGAGTGCAGTTAGTATTTGGTGGATCGTTAAGTATTTGGTGTTTGAAATTGGCGCGTCTGGAGATGCGCATGTGCAGTGGGAAGAGAAAGGGTAGCGTCGGTGGAACGCCGAGGCGCTGACATTTTGTGAGCAAATGTCGGCTTGTGTTTGGTGTCAACATCAGTTGTGGTAGAATTGCGAAGAAAACATCCATTTGTGAGGGCTACGTCCGAATATTTTATTAGTGTACACAAAGAGGCAAGTATTTGCGAGATGTCTGCGGACACTACAAACGCCAAGGTGGAAAGTACCACCGAGAAAACTCAAGATGTGAAACCGGCGTTGATGAATAATCAGAACAACCAGAAGCCACAGGGCGGTTTTAGACGCGGAGGCGGCGGTGGCGGAGATCGCGGAGGCGGCCCGAGCTTCAACCGCGGTGGAATGCGTCGCCCCAACACGAATCCCTATCCAAAGGGCAACGAGGACAAGAAGAGATTCCGTCCGAATTTCCAGGGTGGCGGTGGTGGTCCTGGAGGAGGAGGCGGCGGCGGCGGTGGCCCCGAGAACAATATTGTTAAGATGCAGGAGCGTATGATCAAGGAGAAACTGAGCGAAGTCTCCGGTCCTACCGTCGATCTGCCGCAGCTCAACCAGACCGAGAAGAAATTCTCGAGTAGAAGCCGGTTGTACATTGGCAATTTGTCGCCGGAGGTTACCGACGCCGAGCTCACAGACATATTCAAGAAGTATGGTGAAGTGAACGAGATTTTCATCAACAAGGAGAAGCATTTCGGCTTCATCCGCTTCGATTACCATTTCAACGCTGAGAAGGCGAAGAATGAATTGAACGGAACTGCTTTGAACGGTAAGACTCTGAAGATACGCTTCGCCCCCAACGGTTCGACGATCAAAGTCAAGAATCTCGACGAATTCGTCACCAATGAACTGCTGCACGCAGCCTTCTCCATCTTCGGCGAAGTCGAGAGATGCGTCGTCGTGGTCGACGATCGTGGAAAACCGCTGGGCGAGGGAATCGTTGAATATTCTCGCAAGAATGGAGCCATGTTGGCTATCAGAAAATGCACTGAAAATTGCTTCTTCCTCACATCGACGTTACGCCCCGTGCTTGTTGAGATGTACGAAGCCAACGATGATATCGATGGACACTCTGAGAGGTTCATCAACAAGAAACATCATGATTTCTACAACAAGCGATCGGTGGGGCCACGGTTCGCCAAGCACGACAGTTTTGAGCACGAGTACGGTCTGCGCTGGAAGAATCTGTATGAAATGTACAATCAAAAGGTGGATAACCTTAAGAAGGAACTGCAGATCGATCAGGAAAAGCTCGTGGCTCAAATGGAGCTGGCCAGGTACGAGCATGAGACAGCTATGCTGCGTGATCAGTTGCGCGCCAGAGAAATGGACATGGACAGACAGAAGAAGGAATGGGAAATGAAGGAGCAGCAAGCTGACGAGGCTAGGAGAGTGGCTGAACAAGAGATGCGCCAGCAGGAGCAAGAAATGCAAGCCAGGATGATTCAGCAAGACGAAGACATGCGTAGAAGACAAGAAGAGAACAAACTCTTCATGCAAGCACAACAACTGGACAATATGTTGAACCATCAAGAACAGGTAAGAATTGTTTTTTTTTTCTCTCTCTTTTGTAGAATTGTAACAAATCTTGTTGTATATATAATATGTATAATAATTCTTAATAATATTTTTCAGGCTTATGAACAAGATGATACTCGTTTCGAGATGAACGATCAGAACAGGTATGAGCACGATATGCGCAGAGGTGGAGGATACCAAAATTATCAAGGTGGAAGAGGAAACGGTCGTTGGAACGACAACCGCAATGATTACTACAAGAGGCGTCACTACTAAGAGAGGCAGACTAGTGAGAAAACTATCTTGTGTGTCATTATCGTTCAGTGGCAAACAACAGCAACAAAAAAAAATATCTGCAAACTTATCATTTTTAAGTTATTTTCCTACAATTATATCTCCCATTCAGTTTGCTTCCCATAAAGAAAGGATCACCTCTCCCATTATATTTTAATTTTATAATTGACCAACGGAAAAAGTTTATTTTTCTTGTAATTTCTATTCTTTTTTTTTTTTTGTAAGTGTAGTGAATTTAAATTATGTCTAAATGTATTATGAATAATAGTAATAAAGGTGAAACAAAGAAAAATGATGGAACGCAAAAGAAAAAAATAATAATATTAGTCTTGACTTACCTGTCAAGGTTGATGGTAATGGAGGCGTGATCGATGTGGGTTACGATGCCGGAGGACACAGCTGGTCTGCAGTCTATGCTGACGACGACGTAACTTGATTCTCCTATACCAGATGCCAGAAGATTTGCGCCCATCGCTTTCGTCGATTGGTGGAAGGACGTAGAGTACAATCCGTTCGACTCCAACTCCTCCGAATGGTTCGAGATTTTCATATTTATTAGGCACTGACCATGTTTTTCTCTAGAATTAATTATTTCTTAGTTTTGTAACAATAAGAACCATATGGCATCAAACAATAAAACATTTATTTTGAGTGAACAACACATTTTTTCTCTCATTTTCCTTTGTCAACTTAAAATTTTATGTTTAAAATTGAACATAAAACATTGTTTCGCCATTCAAGTTAAAATTGAATATATATATATATAATTTCATCATCTGAATAACTTATAATAAGAAATAAAAGACTTACCGAATCTCTGGTGATTTTGTGTAAATATCCTTGACGTGCTTACCATCTCTGATATCGTTCTCCATATCGAGTAAAGCGGTGAAGTGCGAAAAATAACTTAAATGTTCGGTCGTTAGATGCGAAAGCAAGTCGTCGCGTATCGCCTCCAAATTCCTGAACTCCGATATATCTCTGTTTTCCAATTTCAGGAACGCACAGCATACAGTATTGTATTCGCACCTGGAGCAAGCACTATGATGATCAATCGGAGCGGGAAGAATCGGCACTTTTATACCAACATCTTCTTCGATTCGCGTCTTCCGCGACAAATAATAAGCTATCTCGTTACGCAGCATCATCAGATCGCGTTTCTCTCTGCTATTCATAGGAATATCTCGAAGAACACTTTCCCTAAAAAGATACATCGCATTTATATTACTGCACGTCACGCAAAATAACTTTGTTATTTATTATTACCTCAAATAGAGTAGTAATCCAGAAGAGACTTTGTAACCGAATTTGGTCATCATCATGATGTACAGTATGATTTGTCCCCTGTGTTCTAAACTCATAGAAGCTCTCCCGGTCTTCAATTCCAAAGGCATCACATCGTCGCCGCTCTTGACGCTCACATCCACTTTACCTTTGATTCCCAGCTCGTGGCACCAGAAGTTTTCTTCGATATCTTCAACGCTCCTAATCTTTCCCTTCCAATCGTTCTTCGCTCGAGTTTCGACGAATTTTCCTGCATTCGACAGCAAATACTGCTTCATGAACGTCGCGATTCTGGGCACAAAATTGTTCAGCTCGTCCATCACCTCGCTCTGGGTCAAACCAGAATCGTAAAGCATGTAAACCTAAATTAATTAAATTATTGAGAAATACTGTTTGTACAAAAAAAATAGTCACTGTGTCTTTATCGTTGATTAGTGCGCACGCGATATCCTTAATCTCATCCAAGTTTTGCACGTTTTTATGCAAGCAGCTTTGCAAAAGGCTATGGATCAACGTTCCCACAACCATAATCTTGTTGGACGGATTAAAACCAGCAAACCTATCTTTAATAACACTTTTCCTCAAGCAGAATAAACTCCCTAAAATAACGCAATTCATTCAATTATGTACCAAGTATATTTTTTTATGCGTACCAACAACTGTGGTGGACGAAATTAGTGTATCCGGTTCGTAAATCAATAAACCTGAATCATTATCAACGATCCAATTTGAATCATCTTTGCTTGCACTCAAAAACAGTACATTGTTCACATCCAGATTGCAATTAGCCCTGCAAACGATTAGCTACAATATTTCCCAAATTGCAGACATATATGATATACACACCAAAATCCTTTTAAAAAACATATCGCCTTTTCCTCAGACGTCTTCGATTGCACAACAATCTTCACTGAATCTCTTAATCTCTCCATTTGCAGCACTTTGCAACGGTGCGGTTTACTCAAATCTAACGTATAACTTATCTGCAAAGAATGAGTTTAAGCTATCATCTCAAAGACTCCACGTATTTTTACTTACGCTGCAGTTGAAATCATCATCCCAACTGTCGTCGAGAAGATCCGCAAAATCAGTTTGATTTGCTACATTATTAGCAGCAGGCGATGTGAGCGTGTTGGAAAAATCCAACTTCATTTTTACCTTGCTACTCATTGGCGTTTGTTGTTTCGACGTGCAGACTCGAATTGGGGTTTTCTCATTAACATTTTTAGCTTTGATTGACCTAAAATATAATCATATAGGAATGCGACTTTTATACCCTCAAATAATTACCTTTCTGACGCAGATGGAGATGCGTAATTTAGTATACTCTGTTGCTTCTTTTCAGAGCTTCTCAGTCTTAATTTCTCCTGTGATATTGAACTATGTGACTTGCTAGGTGTGACTCTGATGAAGTTCTTTATAACATCCACTTGGAATGTGCTCACCTTGGGAGACTTTTCGAAGAGCTTGACAGGTGTCTTTCTGGGACTCTTCTTTGGTGTTCTTCTAATAGGACTCTGTGCAGGCATCTCAGCTGCACCATTAGCACTGTTATTCAATTGCTTTGATGGTGTCTTTGGTTCAATAAAAGTACTTCCATTCGGCTGGCAAAGCTGCTGTGTTAAACTCTGATCACTACTATCACTGTATACTCCACTTTCAAGAATGGACAACTTCCTTTTTTTGCCATTACCATTGGAAATATCATACAACACTTCTGTCTCATTGCATTCAGGAGAACTCTCTATTATATCCTCATCCTGGTTCACCTTTTTTGTAGGTGTTTTCTTGAAGAAACTCGTTATTTTATGATTACTATTGAACTCCTAAATTCATGACAGAAAGAAAACAGTTATGCAGATGTGAGTAATTGAGACGAAAGGTGAATTACCTGAGCTTGCTTTTGCTTCGATTTCCGTTTCATTTTTACACAGTAGAAGCAGATGTACTTCAAGCTAGGAATGCTTGCAAATAATGAGACCTTTAAAAGAGCACATGAGCTTATCCATAGCAAGCAAGTGTCAGAATTTTCCCGCTCTATGAATTGTTTGTTTTTTTGGGTTAAGTAAATATCAACAAATGTCAGTTTGAAAAAATCATATAAACTGATCTTTGTATATATATTTGACTGAGTTATTGTAATAGTAGTAATAGCCTTAATTCCTACTTTAGTAAAAATTAAATACAACCAGATTTATGATTATAAAGTAAAAAAACATTTAAATGCCATCTATTTTCCAATAAGAAAGTTTCGATAATGGAAAAAGTAGATTTCTTTCGAAAGCCTGAAGGCACGTTTCATCGCCTTTTAGGTTGAAAGTCAATTTTAGGGCTGAAACCCCTTTTAAAGCCTTTACCAGCCACTTTACATGATTTTCTCCTTAAAAGAACAGAGCGCCCTCTCTTGAAATAATATTAGAGCAATTGTAAATAATTAGTGATAGGAATAAATGATTACTAAAACTACATTAAACATGTAAACTTTATTTACTGACAATTCGAATGACTTATTCTTCGATGATCAACTTTCACATTATCCTCGATTTACACATGTAGTAAAAAATAATAGCATTACAAATCACACACCAAAACAGGGCGCGTCTAAATCACTAATTATAAAATGGATATAATATTTATGAACCTAATGTATCACTGGTTGAAGAGTATGTAGATTGAACAAATGTATTTAGTGAAGAGTAATGGTGAACTTCTCTCGCATACTGACGCCCGGCTTACGGATGATTAAACTCCTACCCTCGGAATCGTAACTCACTTGCAATATCGTGTCTTCACCTGCAACACAAATTTGTTTACTATTATAATTATCCTGTATAAAATATAGAGAAATAACAAACCTTTGGGGGTCTTCAAAGTTGCGTATCTAAAGTTGTTGGAAGCGCCAAGAACAACGACACGTTCTAACCACGACAAAGTTGGATACTTGGCGTCTTGATCAATGAAGCTGAAAAGTTGCATTAAGTAAAATACCAATTTCCTTAATCATCTTGAAATATTTACCTGTTAGTTAATGTGTTATCTTTGTAATTGAATCGAATGTACAAGTATTTCTTCTTCTTGTACTCGTAACTTTCAGAATCGTCAATGTACAAAGTTCCAGTTGCCGATTTCTAAAATTGAAACAACATTATTTATATTTTCTTAAATGTGTCGGGTAAAAACTCACGTTATTATCCAGAGAAACGTATAGAGTGTATGGGTCATCGTGCATCAAACTTGAAGCTCTCCTAGGTCTATCCTTTCTGGAGACGATTGAACCACCCATGTAAAACACAGGGATCTAAAGAATAGTTAATTAGAATGTAAATATTGAGCGAATCCAATATCCTTACCTTATCTAGATTAACAGGGTAGGTTATATAACCGGATCCCGTGTAAGATTTGAAGTCCGACAAGTCGTACCAAAGTTGTTCGGAGCCACCAGGCAAATACACGCTAGCAGAGGAGGCGCTATGCTGACTGACAGCAGTGGCCATTACAGATTTTCCTACAGAAATAATGTTATATTATGTGTCTAATTAATAAAAGTATTATTATAATTATTACCAATTAAGACTTGATTGTCAATATCCAACACGTTGCTGTCTTCTGGGAATTCATAGAATAGCGGTCTGATGACGGGTTCGCCGGTTCTGGAGTGCTCCCAGAATTGGGTGTACCACATTGGCAAATGGGCGTACCGCAATTTCAGCGCATTTCTGATTCTCATCTGCACGTCGGAGCCGTAGAGGTAAGGTTCCCTGCGTTTGGTATCTATGTGTGCGTGGGCCCTGAAGAACGGTAACCAGGTGGCAACCTGGTACCATCTCAGCAACAGCTCCGGATCGGGATTATGGAAGAATCCACCGATATCGGCTCCGCAGAAGCTTATACCACCTAAGGCAACCGACAAACACATCGGATAACTGATAGCCAAATGCGACCATTCGGCTGCGTTGTCTCCGGTCCACATCGCGGCGTATCTCTGGGATCCAGCAAAGAAAGCTCTGGTGAGAATGAATGGTCTTTTGTTTGGGCTACGGGCCTGAAGACCTTTCATAGTGACCATCGTCTATCGAATTCAAAATGATTAATTTAAACATCAGATGCGAGAAGCGTCAAGGAGAGACATACGTAATATAAACCGTACAAGTTGTGGACATGACGATGCTCCCAATTGCCGTAGTGCACCATGTCTTTACCCATCGTGATCTCAGGTCCGTTGAAGACTGAAGGTTCGTTCATGTCATTCCAAATGTACAGGTTTTCCGTGGAGCCTTTGAACTTATCCAAAGAGTAGAGATTCGAGTAGTAGTCGACGACTGTTGGATCGAAGAAATCTGGGTAACTGCTGGATCCGGGCCAACACCAACCTATACCAAACAAATTCATAAATAATGAAACAATAATAACATCATCATTATAGTTTACCTTCGAAAACCTTTCCGTCTTTATCTTTTACGTAATAATCATTGTTGAGCGCATCCTCGTGCAAGAAATATCCGCTCTCCCTTTTAACGTGCGGATCAATGATGGCCACCAATTTTCTACCGGTCGCAGTGAGGTTGTTCAACATGACCGTCGAGTGGGAGAATTTCACAGGATCCCATGTGAAGTATTTCTTGCCATCGGTGTATTCGATGTCAAGCCACATCACGTCCAACGGGAAATCGCCTTCATCGAATTTCTCCACCACATTCTTGACATCATCCTCGTCATTGTAATTCCACCTGCATTGGTGATAACCAAAGGTGAAATACTAAAAAATTGTAAAATTATTATTAATATTCTATTTTTGATTGAGTGCAATAATTTACTTGTGGCAAAGGCGCGACTCCAGTCAATGCAGCGTATTGTTTGACGACATCAGCAGGTTTAGGTCCCAACATAACGAACACATCCAAAACACCGCTTTCGCTCATGAAATGGGCATCCACTTTGTTCTCGTCCTTTTTACCAGAAACCAAATTCACGATGGACGAAACTACATTGGTGTCTTTGCTGTTGGAAATATCCACCCAAGTTTCGGCAGAGTTATGCCAGAAGACGCCGACGGTGTTTTCCGGTCTAAAACATTCATAAAAAAAATAAGTAATTTGCTTATTGCGTTTTAAAATTTATGAAATACCCATGCGCGTATAAGACGGGAACTGCACCATAAATCGCCATGGTGGTCTCCAATTCGTATTCAAACACATCCAAATTGTACAATCTGTACGGATCTGTTGCACCGGGTCCAGTGCTTCTAAGAGCCAAGTGATCGGCATGCTCGGGAAGACCGTAAGCTCGGATCGCTCCTGGGAAAGTAACGTCCATGGCCAAAGCCTCCGGACCTCTTGGTTTACTGTCATGGTGAGACTTGAAGTTCTCCTCCCACGCCCCTGGATCCTCCTTGAACAATAAACGAAACATTAAATTTCTTTAAACAAATCCAACACCAAATAATTTACCTTCGGTAATTCTTCATTTCCATCAGCTTGCTCTTGAGGTTTCACCCTCAAGTGTTCGATGGTGAACAATCCCCTCGCGTTGACAACAGCAACAACAGTGTCTTTGTTGTAGAACTCAATTTTGAATGGCTCAGCAATGAGCTTGACCTTACTGTCACCACACTTGATGACAACCTCCTGCTTTGTCCTCTCCAACACCTCCAACTTTGTTAACTTTGGCTCACCATCCAAAGCCCCAACCACCTTGTACCTCTTATGCAGCGGCTTAATTTCATCAGCAAACAACCGGAATGTGTTCCCTGCCAGTGCAGTGAGTGTGAATTTGAAAGTCGCATCTGGATTCAACAGGTCAGCTTCCAATGAATGAGCAGACACCTGCAGTGTATCCAAATTGAGGATGTACTTGGAATTATCTTGCTCAACCTTCCTCAAACGCCTGTAGAAGAGAAAAATTAGCAAACACTGTTGGCATGGTTTTAATAAATAAATTACCTGCAGAAACTGCTCTGATCGCAGGTCTTGAAATTGTTCCTATCCACAGAGGCTGCAATTGCAACCAGCAGTGCAAAGGCGAACAGCCTGGTAACAGAACGATAAATTAATGTTTAATCAGACGGACGAAACACTGACGTGTATGCAAAACATAGGATGACAAAAAAAAACACCGGTATTTATCTCGACTTGAATTAGAAAAACTTCTGGACTATTCACATCGCTGAAGAGTTAATCGCACTTTAAGAGCAGCAAAATTTGAGATCTTTACCTAACTCTCATTACGATAATTAGAACGTTTTTAAGTTAATTTAAGTTGAATGAATTGAATCCTATTGGAACTCACCTCATCGCACGAGCCATTTTACTGCAATGACAAAGAAAGATACAGCCAGATACAGCAACCAATTGACGTGTAAATTTAGTATCGTGGCTCCATCTTCGCTGAGTAGCTGCAAGTCCTGTTACATAACAGAAGAATTGATAAGAGTATCAGGCAACTCAAGTTACTTAACGAAGAAACACCATGTTGCATACGACCGTTTCTGAGAATGCTCGTTGTTACATCAAGTGGGAGGTCGAAAATCAAGAGTTCATTGAAACGTAAACACATTCATTCTGCGACGTGTAGAATACGTAGAGAAATGCTCCCTAAATATTTACATTAAATAATGTTATTTAAATACGACAGCAACGTCTGACATAGGCACTAACATTCAACACATCTTTGATCAAATTTATGTAACTTTTTTACAGTTAAAACAATTGTGTTAGCTTTACATATTAGTTCATTTGTTAATTAGATTTGATAGTTAAACAAAGAAACAATTGGATTAAAAACTAGTTACTATGATTTAAATAAAAAATGGATTAAAAATAACGAAAACTTAGTTTATTCAATAACAATGTCTTTGTTATTAAAACGTTGAGATTGAATTCCAACTACGCTAGATATAATTGTATAAAGATCGATTTGAACAACAATCGACCTTTGAATGAAATTCTTGCGTTTCAATAACTGCAAAGAGTTTAGAATGTATTGATAACAATGGTAAATGGAAAACACAATAGTTTTGCTAGCTACGAGCTAAATGTATACAAATAAAGACACCAAAAGAAAGAATTCTTAAAGCAATGAATTGTTCTAATGAAGATCGTAAATGTGCTTTTACTTGTTACGAAAAATGAAAAAGACGGAATAAAATCGTTCCGGACGGAAGCCAAGATGGATGCCATTAGGAAACGTACACAAGGACTATTAAATAAGAGCGCAAGGATTATTACTGCTGCGCTTAAACTTCTTCCCAACTTTTAACAATGTATTTCCATAAACTTTGAACGTACGGATTAGCCTTGTCCCGATTGTCTCTCGCAAGAAGATCAAAGAACGTCAAATTAAAACAAAAGCCTTACTTCCGTTACCAAACAACAACAAAGAAACAAAAAAACAAAACAAAAAACAAAATGCGTATCGAATGAGACTCTTATCGATAATTGCGTACGACATTCTAATGTAATGAAGCAAATCAAGAGCATTTCGTTGGCGTTTTCGTGGCCCTCGGCCATCCCCGAAAGCGGATATCAAGTGAAACCCTTCGGCAATAATAAAGCGCACGGCATGTTGCACGGAACCCCAGTATTAAAATTGCAATAAAGATTCTTGTACGTTTTTGTTAGTTAGATATTGGAGCTATAAATTATACAAACTGCTTTTTATTTTTCGTTTAAATTAATTGCATTTTTAAATTGCGTCCGAGCAATAAAAGTAAACACTGCTCATTGTTTATTCAAGGTTATATCGATATTTGCTGTTTTTCTTTCATAAAGTTTGTCCTTATTTTTTTGATTAATTGTATAATGAAATAATGCAAGAATTTATGAGTAAAATTTTGTTAATATAATAGATTTTTTAATGTATTTCATTTGGTGGAAGCAAACATTGTTTGGAATTTACGAAAAGCATTGTGTTCATTGATTAATTAACATAAACAACTGGAAATTATTGATTAACACAAAGAAACAAGCGAATGTTTGTAAATTACGTTACACAATACACCGCAAAATAATAGCGTGGAAACGATTTCAAGTAGGTTTTATAGATTTTGTTGTCATCACAAACATGAAATAAAGCAATGAATTCGTATACATTCATATTGTTTGTAATTAGGAATTTACGAAGTTTTAGAATGAAAAATACATAATATATTAATTAACAAACGTGAAAGAAACGTGTCATTTACAAATTACGTTAATTAGTACTCATTAGACTTCGGAAATTATAACGTCACAATAATTTAGTCACAAATTTTGAACTGTATAAAAAAAAACAATGTTTGTCACTGAAATAGATTTTGCAGTATTATTTTCGCTCATTGATTAATTAACTAAAACGTATAACTAACTACTGAATGTAAAAATAAAAATACGTGAGCGAAAAATATTCCATTTTATAAAATCGAGCGAGAGAGAATTGTGAACAAAAAAAAAACGTATATAATTCACATTTGTTTTTGAGCTTCATTAGCGTTTTTTTAATTTAAAATAAAAAGAGTTGTTCCATCATTGTACAAAAATACAGTTTTAATTGCAAAGCGCTTTGAAATTTCTTTTCAATCGTCTGATTTTAGTTATAATTAGTAAAACATTGATTATTGATCAACATCACTTTTAATTTCCGAGTAAAAAAAAAACAAATACAAGTCGATTTACGTCGCAAATCGAATCGGCGTAAAATGAATTAGTTCTATATAAGTGTAAAATCAGCAATTAATAAGCGTTATTTCGTAGCGGTGTAATAGTGAATCGGCGTAAATTCTTATCAAAATTTACCGGTAATCATATACAGTATTACGTTCCACAGCTATGAAATTATTATAAAGTTTCCTTCTTAAGTGGTTCGTGTAATTGAATAAGAATTGGTCGATTAAAGAATCGGTAATTTTCTTCAGATAGTTTTAACATTATTCTTCTTAATACACCGGCATCAAACAGGAAATCATGGAAATGCACGTTGATTTGTGAGGATTTAGCCCGGAGGAAGTGGATTCGAAACGTAATTTCGGTTTGCGCAAACAGAAAAAAGTAATAAAATAAAATATAAGAATATTGCGAGTGAGTTGTTACAGTTTCGCTTTTGTTGTGCGTCGTTTAATGTGCGATATTTAACGTTTTAAGGCTGACAGTGTAATTTATTTATACGTTATGGACAGCTCGCGGTCATGGTGTGCGCTGTTTATTGTTGGTTCGGTACTCAATTACGAAGTCAACGTCCTGCGAGTGCGAGAGCGAGTGTTGGTTGCTTGCTCGCTTGCTTGTTCTTCGGCAAAACAGAGAGTTCGGCAACATTTATGGTCGGCCTCAAGAACGAACGTCGAGGCTCTCCGAAGATGAACACAGAAATAGCAATAACGACAAACGACGAAACAAAACACAACACACACATTCTATGCGACTTCGATCCGAAGTTTATTAATAACTTAATTGCACATCCCTCAAAAGCGCAGGTGAACCGTTACGAACTATTATGATTCGTGAAACCCGGCGAAATGCGGTCTCTGATTCTTGGTGCATTCCTCGAGGAGGTTTTCGTCCCGAGAGAGCTTCATTGTTACCGTTCTGGTTTCCCTTAACGACAGTCGAGCAGGATAACGATCAACTTTATTAGCGAGTCACAACCCTCGATGCAGTGAATAACATTTGCTACTTCGTATATACACACAAATATATATATAGAATTAAATATATGCTCGAGTGGATTTATGCAAAATCTCGTACGTTGTAATGAATGCGGCAATCGTTATTTCCGCTTATTATAATCCTCGTCCGATCCGAATGGACGACAAAGTCGTCGATGTCGATGTCGACTTTTCGGCTAAAAATAATTTTTCGCATTAATCCGTCTGGCATTAATAATAGTTCCTCGTCTTCACTATCCTATAAATACGGCCCGGATCGAAGTCACACAGCAGACGTTTTATCGCGGAACCTGGATCTAATTAAATCCGATTCAATTAAAACCTATTTTTAGAGAGCCGCAAAATTTTTGAAAGCTTTTAACCGACTTGCTAACTTTCTAATTGTAAATGAAAATGCATCAAGCAAAAATAGCTTATTTTGATTTAACATTTATTAATAAATATATCTAGTTTATAGATAGTGTTTTCACATTTTATTGATTTTCACCGAAACTGTAAAAGATAGAATGGATCCAAAAGATGCATTTGAAAGCTGAATGTTTGGGGAATGTAACGAGTATTCATATATTATTGTGGTTTTATCCGTTTGGCTGTAATTGACGTTTAAAGTTCAAAAAACGGTCAAAAAAGCAGTGTTTTCACATTTTGTTGATTATCTCGGAAACTGTATAAGATAGAATGGATCGAAAAAATGCATATGAAAGCTGAATGTTCGGAGAATGTAACGAGAATTCATATATTATTGTGGTTTTATCCGTTTGGCTGTAAATGGAATGGATCCAAAAGATGCTTCACAAATCTGGATGTTTGTAGAATGTACCGAGTATTCATACATTTCTATGGTATGATCCATTTCAATGTAGAATGGATCCAAAAGATGCATATGAAAGTTGAATATTTGGAGAATGTAACGAGTATTCATATATTGTTGTGGTATCATCCGTTTGGCTGTAATTCAAAATTAACGTTGANGAAAGCTGAATGTTTGGGGAATGCAGCGAGTATTCATGTATTATTGTGGTATCATCCGTTTGGCTGTAATTGGCGTTTAAATTTGAAAAAACGTTCAAAAAAGCAGTGTCTTCACATTTTATTGATTTTCTCAGAAACTGTAATAGATAGAATGGACCCAAAATATGCATATGAAAGCTGGATGTTTGGAGAATGTAACGAGTATTCATATATTATTGTGGTTTTATCCGTTTGGCTGTAATTGACGTTCAAATTTGAAAAAACGTTCAAAAAATCAGTATTTTCACAT